GGAAAGATTAAACCTAATTAATCTAGGAGGACGGTACCAAGTAGTCAGGCCAGGCTGGAATAGAACAAGCAGCAGCAGTTGACCTTTGAAGAGGAAATTGGGTTAATGTTCCTATTTTGAAGTAGAAGATGATTGCTGGAATAAAAACGTTCTCAGAAGAGTGTTTGTGTGTCTTCACATGTGGTTGTCTGTATTTCTGTGCCTTATTTTATTTCCCTTACCCACAGGAAATCCATCTTGCTTTTCTGAAATGGCTTGAGGGAAATGTAGATGCTGAAGGATTAAGAGCATCCAGCAAGGTGTCTCTTAAATTTGTTTCATCCTGTGAATCAAAAATGGAGATAACGCCGTCTCTCATGCCAGTTATCACTGAAATGGGAAGCTTCTCATCAGAACATTTCAGCCTGAAAACATATCAACAGAATCTTCAAACAAAGAAGCTTGGGAAGATTATTCTTTTTACTGAAGTTACAACAACAACAATGGATCTTCTGGATGGGTAAGATAACGATCTAGACCATACTGAATAAGCTTTCTGATCTGGAATTCACAATTATAGTAACACACAATGTTCAGAAAGAAACTTTTTTCTCTTTGGCTTATTTGTTGCCTACAAGCTAGCCAAAAAACCCCCACAAAACACCCCCCCACACTCCCCCAAAACCTGGCTATCCTCTAGATAGGACACAAAATAGAGATTTTGTGTTAACAGAATATTAATTGATAATGTATAAAATGCTAAGCCATAAAGGGTAGGAAAATCTGAGTGTGACATTTTTTTATTTGTCAGTGGCATTAAATCATTCCTCTTGCAAAGCATGAACATCACCATAGAAAAGTTTAAGGTATTAGATAAGCATATTTAGGAGATTATATGCACTTTCTAGTACAAATTATTCTCTAAGCTAGTTATTTGACAGAAGTAATATCAAGTAGATTGTAGCCTTGATTTTAACATTACAGGTTTCTCTCACTCCTTTTACTGAATCTTTCACTAAAATGCTCTTCAGTGGTTTGTTCAGGGTTTTTTAAACATCGATTAGGGTTATGCTAGACGTTCTTTCATCATCACATAGATGACCCTTGTGAATGAGTTGTGGGATACCTTTGAGAAGGTAGTTCATTAGAGTTTTCAATGGGATTAAGCGATATGAAAATCACAGTTACTAAATCTTAGGCTGGAGTCTATGTACAAAGACTATACTGTTATGTTTCATGAAATAGTCTGATGGAAAAAACTGTCTTTGGGAAGTTGTTACTCTTCAGGACAGATTTTTCTATGTGTGTTTCTACCTGCAGCTGTAACTTTTCTTGGCAGCTACTTTTGAGTACCAGTGTTAATTTATCTGCAGAAATTGCAGATGAATTTTACTGTTGAAAATAACCTCAGGAATTTTGTTTTGGATTTTTTTTTTATCAACATCATCAGTTAAATCATCTTGAATGTTATTGTAACTGATTAGTTAACCGGCAATAATAGTTTAAGTTCTCGCCTAGAGAGCCTAAATTGTGAGACCGATATAAGTTACAGAATATGCCTTCTTGCAAGTAACAAAGGTGATTTGTTTTAGAATATATGCACACAAAATGTGTGAATGAGGATACATTATAGCAATATTAAATTAGTTTGTAGTCTTATGGTTTGCACTGTCATAGAATTTACAAATGATAATTTGTGCTAAAATATTGCAATTTAGAGACAGCTGGAATCAAATAGAAGTTTCTTTTAATTCCAAACTATTCTCTGGTGTGTGCATATGTACTCACGTGCATACACATTAAAAGAACCTTGCTATCTAGTTTTGCCACTCCCTTTCCCGCAGATCTACGTCCTCGTCCTGCAACTGCTTTTGCAATGACTTTTGGACATAGACAAACATGCTAGTTCAATAAGGGGGCATGAAGAAAAGAGTTGTTTTATAGAAGCATTTGTAGCATCTGCTTCTTTTTTTTAGTACTCACAGCATGTCTGGCCCACTGGATTGAAAGCAGAAGTACTGTGAAAAATCCAACAAAGTGATAATTTAATAGGTCAAGACTTTTCTTCTCTGACAGTTGTTTTTGGGGTGGATCTCAATAACATTATTCACACATCTCATTAAGATGGAGTATATAATTCAGAGTTTTCTGAATGCCTTTCAGTATCACAAGCTAAATACAATCATGCCTGGTCAATTTATGTATGATTATATTATCAAGAAAGGCAAGGAAGCTAGGAGAAGTGATCTTGGTTTTTCAATGACTGTGCAACTTTTGCTCTCTTATCTTTAAAGTGCTGCGCCAGCAGAGTGGTTAGCACTCAGGTTGCTTTTTTACATTAACTAGTCCAAATTTAATGAAGCATTTACAGATGTAAGTTTTAAAGATTTTTCCCCATCGTGATGCAGCTCAGTTTTCAGGTAAGATGTAAACTAGAAGTGGCTTATAAGTGGCTTATACTGGGAAGATTATCCTAGTCAGATTATACTTTGAACAATTAAATTTATCGTATGGAAAGACCTTTGTTTTAATAAGTTAAAATATTTGTTTTAAGTATTGTAGTTGATGTTATTGTAAATACTTTGTTGTCATGGATAGTAGAATAATGTAGTCCATGTGATTTGCAATTTGGCGAAGTACTTCAAGACTTCACAGATGATAACATTTTGTAAGTCACTAGAAATTGATGCAAATACTTATCAGGTAATTTTTATTGAAGAAAAAAGTTGTCAGGTTTTTAAGGTACTTCCAGATGAACCAATATGAATTTGTTAGGATATGCATATGACACTTTGTTGTAATTGCCAATTCAGAATGAAGGAAAAACATGCCTCAGGAAAAAAGATTTTCTTTGCTTGAACAAAAAATAGGTACCTATTGATCATTTGTGATTCCTGGAAAAAAATTACAATACTGTGTTTATGTGATCATATATTGCAATAAGCACTTGTTACATGATAGACTCTCTTAGGGGCTCTCAAATTTTACCAAGTTTGTGATCATTGAAAATACGATACAGACACCTCAATAACTGAATTAGTGGAGTTAGTAGTTAATTTAGTTTGTAAATTATTTAGTAAATTATAAATAAATTTAGCATTTAATTTTCGTGACTTTAGATATTCTTATACCTTTCCCACTGACTGGATGTCAAACTTTTCTCTCTCTTCCATTCCACTTCCCCAAACCTTTGTATCCCCCAAAAATTAAGACATGGAAGGAGAAAGTGGGCTGGAACTAATTTAATGGCTGAGCAACCTCACAGTAGAGAAACAGCCGGAGCCTAATAGGGGTCTTTGTCTGCATTTCCACCCTGGCTGGTAACATGCCAGTCAAAAGTCAAGCAAGAGAAACAGGTGGAAACTATTAGACCTGTCATAAAGTTTGAAAAATTGATTCTGGAGGCTAAGTGAATAGATTGAACTTGACAGTGTTGTCCTAAAGATTCTAAGAGAAAATTCTGTAGTTTAATTTGGGATCCCTTGATTGTTCATTAGCTCTCCAGATGGCAGGTCGTGGTGGTTTGTATGATCACTGGCATACATTTATGCATCCTAAGGTAACAAACGAAGTGTGAATTCACCTGTAGGTATCTAAAATTAAGTGACATTAGTGTAATTGTAAAATAAAGATTTGTTTAAATGTCATAGAGTTTGAAATGATCAATATTGCTTTTATGATTTCATGCTAAAAGCTTTATTTGAATCATTTGAGGCTATTTTTAAAAGCATTTCCATTTCTATTTCTTGAACTAAAATTTATATTCCTTACCAAACATTAGAAGCGCCCTTGTTTTTTCTCTAAAAGGAAATTCTTTCTGTAAATTTCATTTCAGAAACCTTGTCTTCAAAGATATTTATCCTAATGTCGCCTGAACGGGTTAACCTTGCCAGAAGCAGTTCCACTTTCTCTGTCTCCACTCCTCAAAGCATGCTGGGAATTGCATGATTTAAGATGTAACTATTATTTTTGAGGATGCATTTGGTATAGTGATACAAGTGTTACACTGTAGAGACATACTAATTAGACTCACAAGACTTGAGGTTGAGAAATATTTCTGACACACTCTAATTGACTATAATGGGTTCACAAGCATTTAATGAAAAAAATAAAGTAATTAGATATACATTTCAGTTTTATTATTTACCAGCATCTTGTATCCTGGTAGAAGATTTAATTTATACATGATTAAGCCAGCACATGAAATATTCTATATGAAATGCCATTGTGGTTCCCTTTTCTGCCATATTTAAAAAGCACAAAGTGCCGTTGTTAGGAAGAGTTTGATACAAAAATGGTGAATTTTAGTGGAAATGAAATGTGGGATGAAGTTGCTTGTGTAATTGCTGAATAGGATATTTAAATAAAATGTCAGCTTAGAATAAACAATTTCCAAACAATTAAAAGCTTTGGAAAAGAAAATCCTTTACATCATTTGTGCCCTTTTAGTTTTTCTTTATGCTTTTCTAGATTCATATTGTTGAATTTTTAAAAATTGTACTACAGGTTTAATTTTGGAAAGTGAGCATTAGGACTCCTTTTATTTTAAAACTCTTGGATTAGTTGTATTCAAATACGCATGCTGCTATGAGCTGGTGAACAGTAAGAGTAGCGTGTAGTTGAAGGAGTTTGGAAAGGCAATTCAGAGGCAGAAGCAAACAAGTTGAGACTGTATTTTGTACTTAGAGATTATTTTTTCTTTCAAATCCTTGTGATGTTTTACTCTGTAAACAAAGTGGCCTCATGTTTAGTCATACCATGTACCTCGACAATCTCCCTTCTTCTCTGTTTAAACCATATTTTTTAAAAAACAAATTAAAATCAGGTAAGTTGTGGGGAGTGGGTTGAAATGTGGTTTGAAGATAGAAACTTGGCATTAATGTAGCCTTTGCAAAATATGCCGTACAGTCCCAGTGCTTGTTTTCATTCCATCATCCGGCGTGCCTGTTTGAAAGCCTCCCTTCTCAGGTACTTGCCTCAGAATTCCACTAGGACTGCAACTACAAGCCAGAATTACTCTTACAACTATTGGCTCAACTTGATCGACCATTTTCTTAAAAGCTATGAAAATTGTTTACTACTTATAGTATTTCAGCTAGCCGTGTCTCATAGTCTAGGGTCAGGTGGGTGGAGGAAGCCATTTTGTTGTATTGTCAAAACCAATTACAAGCTGCATCACAGACCTTGTGGTTTCATCTCTTGAAGATGTATGGGTTGTTGGGAGTACAAAGTCTTCAAAGAGTAATCTTTGTCTTTTAGCATGATGAGACTGTCCTAGTACATTAATAGTCTGCTGTAAGTGAATGTTTTATCACCGACATTAACAGTTTGTAAAAATTAACCCCCTACATCCTTCTCCCTCAAGAATGCCTGTTGGACAGCTGGAAAATACTGTGGTGGGCAGGAAGGATGCCTTTCTCTCAGAAAATAGCCGTTGCTGTTGGATGTTTAAAAAATGTGTGCTGATAAATTGGGCAGTTGGATTTAAATGGTGTATGCATTTTATACATAAACTTTTCC